GCCTAAACCCTGACAGTCACTAAAAACACACATAAATATAATATGGTCATTTGTTGTGTAGTAGTTTTACCTTTTAAAAAATATTAAAGTGTATTTGTTGTCTTTTACATTAACGGGCTTCAAATCACTCTTATTTTTTTACTTCAAAAAGTATTGGACAGATGGACAGAGTAAAAAATAAATCATCTGAATTTATACAAACTGCAGACACAAGCATACATATATGGCAGTGAAGAAGGGGACAGTGAGGAAAGTAAAATGCAAAATATAAACATCCCACACTTTCTCGTGTCATTGCTGCGGAACTGGTTTATCCCATTAGAAGTGTTTAAACAAAAGATAAAAACACATGTGCTGGCACACAGGTGCTGTTGTGCAACTAAAAAGACTAAAGCCTTTTTCATATCTGAAATATCAACCAGTTAAGAGTTCATAAATCTATTTAAAAAAAAAACAACAGTACCAAGGCTTTGGTCAGCTGTTTAATCTTGCACACACACTTCATTCAGACCCATCTGTGAAAGTGACATTAARAGCCATGAGAATTTGTACAATGATTAGATAATGCAGTCATGTAGGTAGCTAATAATATGAAGCTTCACATAATGTCACATTTTCCCACAACAATATGAACATGCCAACGCCTGAAGCAATAAAAACACATTTGCTACTACTAACATTAAAGCAAAAGATTTTATGTAAGTGATTTTACCATGTAATAAAAAAAACATCTGTGTTGTAAGTTTTTATTTAATTTTAAGAAAGAAAAAAGCTTTTTAAAAATTGTAATGCATGCTATGCAGTATTATATGGATTTGTACYGAATATTTTTTTAAATTATAGTTGTAAAATAAAGGGCAATTTTATAATAGTGAAAACATTACTAGGCTCATACACAGTAGCCTGTCAAGATAATACTTGCAACCAAGCAGGGATGCATCCTGTGCCCCGGACCACTACTAAGCAAGGACAAGTGATCACACAGTAAAATGACAATATTGGGTCTGATTTAGAACAACTAGGAGGGAGGTTACAGAGAGGAGGTGAGGATGTCCACAGACTGGTGTGACTATAATAAAAATAACAAAAACAAGGAGATGATCAGCTTCAGGATGACTCAGTGCACACATATCAATCTCAAGCAATGAAAATGCACACTTATTTTCTAGTAATAACATATAAACAAAGGATTTTAAAAAGCTAGGTAATCTTCCCACACAACAGCTGAGGGCTCTCAGAAATCCATCCATACTCACAGCACTCATGCATGAACCATAAAAAAATGTTTTGACCAGGTACGTTATTAACACCTCAGACTGAAGGGTCCTAAACTTGACCCAAAAACACCTGCTGTCCGAAGTGCCCAGCATCCTGTGTCCCCACTGAGCCCAGTCAGACGATTTGCTCTCACTTGATTTCAGACAAAAGCCTGCCTAACAACACTTCCAGATTCATTAATCCTCTCTACCTTGTTGTTATCAGACAGTTCAACAAAACACTCCACTGAATGCACACCACTTTTACAGCTCTCCTGTACAATAATAATAATTTCTAGTGTGGTAACTCCTTTTTTGAGGTAACTGGGTCTGTGTGTATATGTATGTATGAATTTGTATTCAGAGCTCATTTTATATAGAAAATATTAAATATTGATAATTATCAGAACAGTTTAAGCTTCAACACCAAAGTTTTCCATTCATCTTGAACACTGTAAAGCAGCAATTTCTTGTTGCTGCAGAGGAACTAATTTAAGATGGAACCTGTTCATTTATTTAATAACACAAATCTTTCAGACTCCTCTAAGGCTCCCTTCACACAGAGATGGTATTTATGGCTCTTTGATAGGATCTGGAACCATAGAATCTGTTTCAAAGAGCTGTTCAGTTTTGAATGTTAGCGACGTCGCTACATGATGACATAGGTGCAACTCGGTTCCGAACATTTGTTTTAAAGCACCGTTCAAAAGATTTGGATCGTTGATAAATGTCCCATCTCTACCTCAGTGCTGGCTCTAGCCATTTTGGTGCCCTAGGCGAGTTGAAACGCAACCCCCCACCAAACTATGTCCCACCCACCCCAGTTTGAACCACTAAAAACGACAGTGTAAGGTACTATGGTAAACTTAGATTTATTTGCCCCCCCTCTGTCCCCAGGTGCGAGTTGTATGGATTTTTTTGCAAAATTTACGGATTTTTGAGGCTTTTTATATTGGTAAACGTACAAAGAGGTTGACATGGATTGGACAACAAAATACAAACTTGTTGTTATTGAGTTTGTCAACATGAACCGCTACCTGAGAGGCACTACTAGCCCCTCTCCCGTCAGAGTGTCGGAGCAGGACGAGTCAGTGCAACGTCAATCAAAGGTGAGAGAGGGTGGGGGTATTTGCTGCATTGGGGTGGGGGATGTTTTATGGGTAGAGTAGCTTATTTTTCCTGTAATATTTCATTATAGTTTTTTAAGACAAAGCTAATTGAAAGGGCAGAGTTACAGCCAGGTATTAAAAATAATTACTTTTTTCTTCTGCAGTTCGGCACCCCCTCCAGCAGATGGGGCTCTAGGTGACCGCCTAGTTCGCCTATGCCAAGAGCGGGCTCTGCTCTACCTTCACACTGTCTGACAACCCCTGCTACTCTCTCTGCGACCTTTTAGAACAAGGCTGGATTGTGATAAATTTTAAAAATATCCTGTAGAGAGAAGGCAGTCATGACGCTTTAATGCTTGTGGTACTCGCCAGATTGATTTACCATGGTATTGGGGTGTTGTCTATGTGGTGTGGGTGTGATGACGTCATAGCTTACACGAGGCCAGCACAAGTCCTGCTTCAAATTATCGATGTCCAAGTTCCACTAATGCATGCAAGGCCCATGTCATGGTTTTTAATTTTTTTCCACACATGGTAACAAGGTCATCACCAAGGGTGATGGTGGCCTAAACAGCTGACCTTGTTAGCTCATTGCTGCTGTGCATATCTGCAACAAATTACACCTGTGTGGAATGTTTAAAGTGACATCTACACGTTACTTAATCTGACATACTTTGCATAGCTTTACTGAAAATCACATGTGAGGTAAATAATGGAAAATACTCTTTTAAACACTTTACTATATGTAATAAATTCAGCAAGTCTGCAAAGCAACTTCTACTTATTTTAAGAAAACTTTATTTTAAGCGGAATGAAGTCAATCTTACTGTCATTTCGAAGGCTGTAGACATTATTATCTTACTGTTTATCAAAAATACTTTGAAAAGCATTTTTATCATTTCTCAAGGCACAAACACACTCACAGGTCAGTGGATGCAAACTTATCACATACAGCACAGATCATTTGGTGCCTTCCCCAAGGACTGGTACACATGATGGTGCCGGACATCAAGATGCCAACCTTGCCACACCATTTATCACTTAAGCCACAGCTTAAATATGTTGGGTTTTTTTTTATCATGAAGCCAAGTCTAACTGACCATGATGTACCGTTCTAAAGCATTACATTATACAAATGTCAAAATGACCATTTTTTATGTGCTGCCAGTTGAGAAAAACTAAACATTTCAACTTTATAATAAATTTAGGATTCATTGCAGGACTGTATTTCAAGTGCAGCAATTGAGCTTTCAATGTATCAGGAGCAAAATCCCTCCTAATTCACTCTAGAGTTAATTTCAAACACTTAATACAAATACAAAAATAAATCTAGTTAACTTCAGTATTTTGATACAGGTAATGATTTGTGAATGTAAATACTGTTAACAGAATTCTGAAAAAAAAAAAAACAAGCTCACATTTAAAGAATGAATAAAAAGGTGAGAAACACTACAAATGCAGACTACTAAGTTTATGTTTTATRTATGGATACATGTAATTATATAAAGCATTTAACGTATTTTCTACTATAAGCATATATTACTGCAGAGATCATGCACATGACAGTACAAAGTATTGACACAAAGCAAACAACTGTTTCCTGTGTCATGTAAAACCTAATAAAAGTTTTCTGTGATGCAAATGTTAGGTTTTTGTTAACAAACATTCATACACAGTTAATTTGGATACTAAATTGCAACATAATCTTTATTATGATTGTCAAAAGAAGATGCTGAATATTAACATGAACTGAAGAGCTTCTAGTCATGGCAACCAGAGCAACAGGTCAAACAGGAATCTGTAACAATTTTGCACAAAAATGTCTCATTATGCTGACCTCACTGTCCAGTAATAAACACTGATGTGTGGTGGCATGTATTTAAGCACACAATATCATCTGGAAAAGTTTTATTTTATTTTATTTTATTGGTCATATGATACGTGTAACAGAACATTTAATCGAAATTACTGTTTTAGAGCTGGAAAATGTGTATATAATTATGAAGGAAGATTTCTTTAKTAACACACACCATTATAATTATACCCATAACTGTCAGAATGAAACCATGTTGAGCTTCCTATCTAATAAACACAACACTGATGAATTTACAAAAGTGACACTCTAGAAGGATATACATATGGTATGTCCTACAAGAGTATAATATATATAAAATATTGTTGTTATGGTTGCTATACATGACTAAAAGCTCTTCAGTTCATGTTTATATTCAGTATCTTCTTTTGACAAGAATTGCATTGCAATTTAGCATCCAAATTAACGGTTTATGAAAATGTGTTATTAATAAACCAAACTCCTCCAGGTATTATACCTGGTTGACTAACACATTAGAAGTCATAGTACTACATAAGAAAAGCCTGAAAAACTGCCAAGATTATTTCAAGAGGCGGAAAAAATCATTAATCAAATTAAAAGAAGGACTAATAATGAAGTTAGAGCTTTAAATGTTGGGGTAAACACAAACAGAAACAAAAGATAGTTTAGCACCTTTATGTAAAAAGACTTACATGCTTTTAAAACAGCCTCAATCAGACCACAACCCTATAAAAACCAAAACAACCACAAGACTTCTTTAGCCCCTCCCATCTTAAACCCACTAACCCTAATAACATCCTTAACCACTGCATGGCTCTTCTTAATTCGTGCAAAAAAAAAAAAAAATTAACTTTAAACACACCTATAAAGCACAACTATAATTTAATTTTAATACATCTTGTTTACATTTACGCACCAGCTACTTCGCTGTGCCAGAAATACAATGTGAATATAAAATATTTAAAGAGCAGCAGCTGAAGTCAGAGATGATTAGGCATTACAGTTAATTGAAAACCAGATGGCTACTGTATGTAACAGTTCGACCACTCCAAGCGCAACTCGTTCAGTTGCAGTCATGTTGTTTTTAGCTACTAACTACTGATAGTTGCTTATTATGTGACACCACACTGTTATCTATATAACCAAAATTGCACAAAAACCTACCAGCAACAGTTTATTAGGACAATAAGAGACAACGCATCGACCTAATTGTATTTGTTTTTATCTACTGTTCGCTCTGACTCCGCTAGTGTTGGAGGTAAGGTGCTTAGCTAGTTTATCCAGTTAGCCAACTCGCGAGCTGCAAAACAAATTTATCGTGCTTTGATCTGATATTTACCTTTTTATATCCACGTTGTCTTAGCGTTGATATCCAAAACTCGAATCTCCTTAAAAGCGATTATCAAAAGATTTTTTTTTACCTAGTTATTTCCCAGTTACGCGTCCAAAACGTCACGGATTCCGAGGCGTTTGACACATAAGTGCAACGTGAGGCCGGCATTGCATAGCCACGCCTACCCCGCGACGATTGGACAGTGAAAATTGTAATTCTTTGTTTGATTGGGCGAAAGGCGGAAAATGGGCGTGCACACGTCTGCATCCTGTCAAGAGCACGCCGCCGATTCACGTGTAGCCCCATGTTACACAATAGGACAACAAGCAACAGACTGCTCGGAAAGCACCGTGTCACCTCGATACGTTCACAGCTTTTCCACTGAATGAAGCGACAGGGATGTTGCATGCTCAGGCTTATGATGCACACTTCTCATTAGGTTAATATACATTAAAAGTTTAAAAATATATATTTTATCATTCAGTTTAGTGCCCAAGATCCTTGAAAACGCATGTTAATTTTGTTTTGTTAAACACATGAAAAAGGAGAGCTTGTTGCACTGAACCCTGTGTTGAACACAATGCAGCTTTGCAGGCAAGTTTAAAATAGCTCAGTCAGAAAAGCATGCGTTTGCTCCATAACCTTTAGAATGTGACACATATATTTCTGACAGTTCAATCAGTGAAATTAATGTTTGGAACAAAAAAAAAATCTACAAATGCACACTCCTCCCCCCACCACAACAACCTTTCAAACATACCGTATATATTTCTGGTTGCAGCTGACAATCCCATAAGTCAACTGGTAATAGGTGGGGCAGTTAGGAACCCACCTTTTTTCTACTTAAGTTTTAAACAATTTACATAACAAGCATGTTTTTAGACTGTGAAAGTAAACCAGGTAAAAATACACATGCACACCAAAAAATGTACGTGAAAAGGCACATTCCACCACTGAGCAGCATGGAGATGAAAAGCTTGTTCCTCAATTTGGACACTTAACATCACATAAAATAATAAAAAAAAAAGTACAAAACATTTTTCATAGATGTAATTGTTTTATTGAAGTAATAATTATTTAAAGACAAAAAGTACACTTGCATTTTTCAAACACATTGGGTCAGCGTTGGGCTTAAAAGTTAATGGGTCTCAAATCTTTGTAAAAATAAACAAAGATGAAAACACACTGCCTGTAATGGTCAACAAATCACTGTCAAGGAGGCTGCAGTCTGTAACTAAAATGTATATCATAAGAACCCATCTTTTAGTTATTATTTTTGCGTAAATATAGATCAACTGCAAATGCCAATAACAAAATGTATCCGAAACTGAAATAATGTACAACATAAATGAGAAAAAAACCCAAATCCAGTGTTGGTGTAGCATAAATCACAATGGCACTTGTAATGTTCAGCAGTAGCAAGAAAAGCACCACAAAAACACTTAAATTTCCCATTAGTTCTATATTTAACAAGATGCAAATAAAAGCTGTTATACACTAAAACTGGGATATTACATGTGAGAAGTATTTTACATTATTCACATGGAATAAATGCCAGAGGAGTTTATTAGAGGTTAAATTCAGCTGACCAAAGCCAGGGGCACAGTTTTTGTTTGGACAGTGAGCACTCAGAAGGCACTATGCTTCGTTGGCAGGTACACACGGTCAAAGTTATGGCTTTATTTGCTGTTCTCTATTGGAGAAACTCATTTTATCTGTCGAAAATTACAATTCTGTATATTCTTGTACTTAGATGTTTCACAAAACGTTTTCGTTGCAACCTTTAGAGCCCCTAAACGAAACATTTTACTTATTGCTAGCACTTTTGTTCTGTTCTCTCTCTCTCTGCTTTTATTTTTGAGGCAGTGTCTTTGACCTTTGTAAGGATATGAGGCTGTTTGGTCTTGGCAGAGGCACCTTTTCTAAACAAGTCCATTTTAACTTATCAGTATCGGGGAGTGCTACTCAAGATGAGTGATCAGATGGTTAAAAAAAACTCTAAACTGTGTTTTCTATCACTGTTTGTAATGTTCTCTATAAATAAGTCAATTTTATTGTGTGCAAAAAATATAATAGTATATTGAAACCCACACATACATTAGTCAACTGTAACCATTTGGAAATCAAAACACATTTTTAAAATAAGAAATGTTGTACAAAGAGCCAYTCCTGACAAGAACATCTTCAGAGGCACAGTTTTCTAACCTGGTACACAAAATCTATGTCACTATATTATATTAAGCTAAACAGTTTACAACACATACACTTCTAGTCTGAAGGATAGAAAATGTGTGTATATATGCACTATATTACAATGTCAGAAATTATTCATGTAAAAGATTTATTGTATGTTTTCTTTGGCTTGTGAAGACGTGGCTTTTAAATTAGTTTAGCAATGTGTTATATTAATATTTCATTACAGATTAAACCTGAAGTATAAACAGACCTTTACTAAGGCACAAGAAATAAACACATACACATTCTCACACACACAGCAATACAGGAGAAGGAATGAACACCCTTGGGAGAAGTGAATTTTGTGATCATGTCGACTTGAAGTATGCACACTGCCCCACTCTTCATTTTTACCTCCACTCCTCTTCATCCCACTGCTGCTTTAGGAGCAGCTCCAAACTGTGAAGGAAATTAAAACTTTTTTCAAAACATATTTTTCCAAGAAGTTTGTAAACAAAGAGGCTTTGAGGACACTTAGAACAACATGATGTAATACTTCAATTACTGTTACTGTAATATTTATATATTATTAAAAATAAATAAATTTAGAGCTTAGTTTGCCTAATGTACAAAAGTGACTTCTCTGAGAAAGATGTTTTTTTTACTTCAATTTGTATTAAAAGCTTCACCAACAATACATTKCTTGTTATTATACATTGTTCTGTTTAATTTAGAGGCATCACAAAACAACGCAATTAAAGATAACTTAAATAATCTGAAAGTGAAGTATTTAACAATGTATACTACTGTAAGTTAAATAAGTCATTTAATGATTATGGTAGTTTAAAGTATGGATCGAGATGTAACTTTGTAAAATATTAGAGATTTAGAATCTTAATTGTAACACAAACTAATTGTAATAAATTCTTTAAATTACTACTTTAATACTTACTAATGATGATGATGACGATGATCACTACAACAGCTATCAGGATGGCCCACATCTGAAAAAAGAAAAATAGATTTTTAGGTTACGTACAAAACTTTGTCCTATCAGAGTGGAATCATGGTCTAGTTWAGATTAGTCTTTTTCATTAAAAGGTTAAATTTTGACACTTCTATATCAAACTGTCAAGTCACCTTGCAGTTCTTCCACCAGTACTTCCTTTTCAGTTTGGCAGCACTGGTCTCGAACTGGGAGGCTCCAGCCTGCAGTGCATCTGCTCTGTCATCCAGTTCAGACAGTTTCTGATCTCGTTCCAACACTTTGTCCACATTAACACGCATTATATCCACTACCTGTTCAAAAGGAAGACAAAAACACAGGTAATAAAAACAACCATACGTTAGATGCTGTATACAGTCTGACTGATGGATGTGATTATACCTTAAATTGTATTTTTTATTTTCTTTATAATTAAAAAGAGAGAATGGTCTCACAAACATGAAAGCATATTGTACTCATAAYACGATGACATAACGGCTTAAAATGTGAAACATCTTCAGGCAATGTTACCTAACAGGACTCCTAATCAAGATGCACCACACCTTGTAGGAAAATGTAAATCAAATCTTTTTATTTTACTAGCAGAGTGTACCTTGGGTCAGGTAAACATGTGCGCACAGAGACTACACAATGCCCATATGCTCCACTGATCCACAAACGGCACTACTGCCCCTCCTCTCACACATACAGGCATGGGAGAGGAGTGTGTAAGCTCATGCAGACCTTACATAATCACAGAGACGATGATTACATAAACTTCTGAAAACCAATCAGATGCTCTGTGTGACGCTGAGGTTAAAGATCTATGGGGGGAGGGGTAAACGTGGGAGAGGGGGGGGCTTAGAAAGAGGGAGGAAGAGGTGTAAAGAAGATTATTACAAATGATTATTAATTGATGCTGAAAGCATTGACTCGGGTATGAATAGGTAATCCTAAAACTAAAGAAAAAATGCTTTTAAGCACAAGAGCTGGTGGAGGTAGATCATTAGAGAAAAACTGATTCCACAGGGTGAATCATGGCACTTTGCTTCTGAGTTATGTAAGTCCTTGCCTAGACTGAACAAAAACCAGAGGAGGGGCTGCATCTCAGGTGACAAAAAATATCTACACTTGGAAAGTCGTTTTAGGTAAAATTCCTTTTGAGGTGGAGAGAGGCAAACAACAAGCTTGACTACATGAATACAACGTGGCAATTCAAAAATAGCATTTAGGTGCTATTTTTAGTGCTTTTTAAAAAAAAGAATAAGAAGATTAACAAATGACAACAAAAAATACCCTATTCTTTTGACAATACTGTTTTTTTTAAATTAAATCATTACTAATGGAGGATAAATAAAGCTTACCTCATCCACTTGGGCTTGCGTCTGCTGCAGACGCCTGTTGCCCGAATCTGCCGCTGAACCTTCTGGACCGACGTTTGACCTAATGAAATGATAAGAATTCTGAGTTATTATATAGAGGATAGGTATCTCTAATTTAACTGTTAACATTTTTCTCATCAGAGGCCAGGGATGCTGCAGCTGTCACATCAAAAAAWATATWTTTTTTGATGCYGTTTTCTAATAAAGCCTTTTTAGCAAAAGTACTTGAATCTTAACAGTTTTGAAGCCTCGTTTACAGAACGTACTTACAGGTATTATWGTTCACATTTTGCAACTATATTTTGTTCAGTCATTCTATCATCTTGAATGAGTACAACTTGAAAGACTCTACAGGAAAACTGGTCTCACTTTACACAATGATATGCATTCAAACCACATTCTTCACTACGAAGACTTGATTTCTACAGCCATGTATTATTCCAGCCTAATCAGGTCAAATGAGGGTAACTCCAAGGCCTCTTCCATCTACTTGCAAATATTATAAAACCACAGGATTCCCTTCCTCCCCACCAGTATTCCTCTGGTTTTTGTAACACTTTGGTATCATTTTTCTCTTCAAAAATAGCATATATCCACCAGCAACAGATACCCACTGCTGCTTTAATATCATCCGTTACAGTTCCTGTCTATAATCCACTCTCAGTCTTCACCCTCCCCTCAGTCAATGATGTCTCCAAATTAAGTCAAAAAYCAATATCTTCAACCTGCCAATAAGATCCTCTTCCAACTATTCGATTCATACTTTCAGGCCACACTCAGTTTGTTCAATTAAAATAATCCACGTCTCATACTGTTCCTGGTTGCCCAGGGCTCTGTCCTGGGACCCTTGCTGTTCATCACTTATCTTCTCCCCCTTGGTTACATTTCTGTAAACATCATATTAAGTTTCACTGCTACGCGGATGACACCCAGCTCTATCTCTCAACCAAACCTAACTCTACACTCCCACCTTTGTTCCTCACTGATTGTCTTCTTGAAATCCAACAATGGTTTACCCCAGTGGTCCCTAAACTACGGCCCGCGGGCCGGATCCGGCCTGCCTCCCCATTTGTTCTGGCCCCCAGAACAATACCAGAGAGCATTTAGTTTTTTTTCATGTATGTGTATTTGTATTTGATTATAAAGTTGGACTTTTGCAATAAAATGTTCCTTAGTTATGAACTATTTTCATTATTAACTATTATTAGTTAGTAACTTTCATACATACACGCATATAACGTGACATTCTGTTCCACCCTTCTGCTGTCTGTGCCCCTATCTGGCAACCCCCAGAAAAAAATCCTAAACCCGCCCCTCTCAAAGAGAGAACGGAATAATGGCGGAAAGATTAGATAAGAGAAAAATTGATTCAGAATGCAGGGCATTGAAGCTGCAGTGGACAAACGATTATTTTTTTGTTCATCTGTCAAGAGATGGTAGCGGTATTCAAAGAATACAATCTGTGGCGATACTATCACAAAGACAAGTATAATAGCTTGCAAGGACAAATGCAATCAAACAAACTCTCAAAGCTAAAAGGTGGACTGTTAGCTCAGCAGAATACATACTGTGAAGAATCCAGAGAGGGTTATTTGATTGTGCTTTCTGGAAAACAATAAATTTTTACATTTAGGCACTCCTGCAATAGTCACACTTTTTCTGTTACAAACTGACTCCRGCCCCCCAHCAGAGRAGGGAAAAGTTATGTGGCCCTTACAGGAAAAAGTCTGGGGATCCCTGGTTTACCCTAAACGTCATTAAATTATTTTACAATAAAACAGAACTTCTTTGAATTGGAACTAAATCAGCACTAAGTAAAATTCAAAACTTCTCCATTCAGGCTGACAACTCCATCTTTCCCTCTCCTCAAGTCMAGAGTCTGGGTGTCATCCTCGATAGCACTCTCTCCTTTGCCTCASATGTCAATAATATCACTCAGCTTATTTCCATCTTCAAAATATCGTCTCCGCCCTTCTCTCACCCTCACTCCACTGCTGTTCTGGTCCACTGTCTGGTCACCTCACATTTAGATTACTGTAATTCTCTTCTCTTTTACCTTCCACAGAAAACCCTCCATAAACTACAACTGGTTCAAAATTCAGAAGCCCGTTTCAGTATGGAAACCCTCGATTCATCACATCACACCTGTTGTTCTACAATAGCTTCATTGGCTTCTCATTCCATATTGCATCAACTACAAACTACTTCTTACCTTCAAAGTTGGACACAACCTCGTCCCTCCATATCTTTCAGACCACATTGCTACACCTGCCTGTACCCTCAGATCATCATCTTCTATTCATCCTGCTGTTCCTGACCTACTAGCTACTATAGTGAGCAGAGCATTCAGTCGCTCTGCCCCCCAGCTCTGGAACTCACTCCCACCTGATCACCGTAACACAGACTCATTGCCACATTTTAAATCCAAACTAAACTCATCTGTTTAAAGGTAGCTTACAGACTGTGACTGCAACTACACTGTCTTACTGAATTTCTATTTTGTACTTATTTTTACTGTGTATTTTAATATTGTCTGTTTTATGTTAAACTATGTCAGGTAAAAGGCACCCACAAATAAAATGTACTAGCTTTCTATTATTTTAAGTTACTTTGCAGTTCAGTAATGCAGATAACGACAGGATGTTGGTAATAATTACTAGTTATTTTTAGGTGATCTCAGATTTCCTATTACACAATGTGGTACGTGTTTTTTGTGCAGCTTCTTATACAAGTTTATTAAATCCAGTTCTACTGCCAGATAATTTATGAAAAAAATGTGTTTGGTATTTCGTTTGGATTTAGGCCAGTACAGTAGAAGAGCATGTGAGCTGAAAGCCGCAACGCAGGCTGGTAAAATGAAACTAACTCATCATCTCTCTTTTTGCTCAGTCAGTTTAAAAGTCACATAGTGAGATGTTACGAGTGAGTGTATTTTAATTGATGGAAAGGTGAAACCATGTCAAACTGAGTGCAGTGAGCACTGTAATGATTTGGTGTTCTGTTAAGATTATTAAAAATGAGTAACCCCTGTGGAGTTAAGCTGAAGTTATATATATATATATTTGTGTCTGGTCTGGTTGGTTGAACAAGCGTTTGAAACTAAAATGACAACAGAAGTGAAGATGCCATTTTTTTCACGGGAAGATACTAGAACTTGATGCAATTTAAGAATAAGTGGAAAACTATATGACTTGATGCAAGGTTACTAAGATTACACAGATTATTTATGTATTCATGATAACAAGACACTGTACAAGAAAGTGTGTTTATATGGTTACGTCCTACAATTTGTTTAAATTTTTTAGCATATATATTTTATCAGTTTTGGAAATTTGTTAAATAAGAAAAATTATAACAGACTGTTTTCTAGATTTCATCTTACTTTCTGAAAAGAAATGACTTCATGTAATTAAAGGCTCGTTGTTCTTGCAAACATTTACAGCAGTCCTTTACTGCCACCATTTGACTTGAGACAGAACTGCTCTGTAAACAGCACATCAGGGAGTTTTCCCTCTGCTCTTCTCATAACACATGTAGCTGCTTTATTGACAGAATGAACCTAAAGATACTAGAACAGGGGTGCCCAAACATTTTCCCCGAGGGGGCCAAAATGAAAATCTATCCATGGCTGCGGGCCAAATGCAGTTATATAATACATGAAATACAAATACTTTTTAAAGTAAAGTCCTTTATTTTTAATGATTAAGCTGTGCAATGTCCCTCTTTTGTTTTAGTCTGCGCACTTGGAGAAAGGCTGCCATAGGCTCAAGTAGCAAAGGCTCAAGTAGCAAAGGCTCATGGGACATATAATAAATTGATAAAATATGAGTTTTGTGGCCTTATAAAGTGTGCAAATCTACACGTGGGGTTAAATCTAATCTAAGTTTTTATTGTTGTCGTTTCATGTTTAATCCTAATAAATCAAAGATGTCAGCACCATGACTGAAAACTACCTTCACTACAGCCCTTTTATATAGTCATTTGACCAATGGAAATACTGTTTCTACCTATAGGATAACAGGTTACAACCTTGTAACTTTGGCAACAGTTGGTGGGCCAAATCAAATGGCTTGGTGGGCCAAATTTAAGCAGGTTCTAGTGACTAGAACCTGCTTATTTGTGTTATCAGTGGGGCATTTCCAAATTTATTATCCCCATTTAAGTTATTAAGATTATTCTTTCCAAAACTAATTGAATGATAAATACAAATTTCCATATGTCTAGTTTTCCTTGTATTTATTTTAGTAGTAAAAAGTGGTGTTTAAGCTGTAAGTTTAAGCTGTAAGTTATCTGCAGTAAGTTATTATAAATGTCATGCTGAACTGTCTACATTAGGGCTCCAAATAAATCTAAGATTTTAAAACAAATAAAGAGAAGCAGAAATCACAATGAAATAATGTATACAAGTATATTGCACAAGCTTTGTTTATTCATAGAACTGCTCCAGTTTAAAAAAATAAAATCACTGGATTACAGCTGAAAAGAGAATAGTCAGGATAACTCCTTGACCATAAATCTCCTAAAGCTACAACTGTACTCATAAGTATTATAGGATCATATACACAGAGAGATTTATATAACTAAAATATCTGCTTTTCCAAACCAGTAAACATTATGTGGAGATAAGTGAAGTGATCTTGATAACCTTTTGTGGCACAATTTAAGCCTTTAAATTACTGCATGTCTGCCACATGTCTATACTGTCTATCCACTCAGGAGTGCACACATATCTATGAAACCAAGGTGATGTGAGCTCTGCTATAAATGTAACAAAGGTTAATATCACCAGAAGCAGTTTGCAAAAGCTACATTTGATCAGAATTGTACAATCTGGAACACGAAAGCWTTTAATTTGGATGGAAATACATGTGAAGATGATTAAGCAATTATTCAATTATTAGTTTTAGGATTTGACTCGTTCTCTACTTTTTGTATTAATATAATTGTAAAGAAAAACAAAGTCAGTAAACCATAAATATAAATCTCCCAGTTAATAACACCAAATATGAACTCATCTGAACCACTATTGTTTACTATGTTTCCTACAAGTTGTCAAATGCACATCTTAAAAAAAAAGGGAATATTTACAAATCACCACAAAGTATAGACGGTATTTCATACTGTACTGAATGAGGCAAGGCCAAGAAGAAGCCAAATGGAAATATTTGATCCGGGACGAACTGAAACTTGGCATTGTTCAATGAGCAATAAATATTTAAGCAGCTGTGACTCTTTGCATTATGAACATGTGTATTTTCCTTAGTTGTCGACTTGACAAACAGAAAATATATAAGTAAAGATATATTAAAGAAGTAACGCTAAAGCTAAATTAGCTTAGCTGGTTAGAAAACCTAGCTAAACTGAAGTGGTGCTAACACTTGTTGCAGGCCAGCAAAGTTTTGGGCGTTGTTTTTATGTGGCCACGTCTTTTCCTAAAACACGACAGACAGCTTCCTTTAAAGTTGATTACTAAAACATTRAAACAGAAACATAATATACTCACATTGTGAAAAGTACTTTGTTTAAACGACACCGCCCTGTTTCTAGTTTGAAAAGTGTTTAGCCGTAACAGCTAGTGCTGTCGTTTGATATGCTGCCTTCAGGGCTRTCGGAAATGGGAAATAGACATAAACCAGGGACAGCGCAAGCKCAAATTAGAAAGCGTGTTAAGAAACAGACACAACTTTACATCTTTGTCCTTATACGACATTGTGAGAAGACATAGTTTTTGTAATATGTGGTATGCACAATAATTTTGAGCACAGTTTCTACAAGTTTCGTCGTAATGTATTTTTCGTTCAGAGTTAAGAGTATGCATTTTCCTTTTTCTCCATCTCCAGGTATACGCAGTCAAAAATGTGACATTAAAGGTATCACAACTCAATTAAAAAACAAGAGAATTAACGTCAGTATTTTCTGTCCTCATTCACTGCATTGTTAATGTACAGTGGAAATGTGGTGAAAAGCAGCCTTAAACCCGTGATCAGTATGTGACCATTAAAAACAAAACAGCTTTCAAACTTTTTTCAGATTATTGTTTGTGTCTGCTACTTTACAGAGAAAAATCAGTCCCAAAAAATAAATAATGAACGAACGAATAAATAAATAAACAAACAAACAAACAAACAAACAAACAAACCAGTCTTCGTTTCAGTACAGATTGATATTTACTTTTGTGCACATCTTTATGAGAGAGGAAAGAACTGTTTCACCCCAGTTTTAATCGCAGCTTTTCACAATAAAAGAAAGCCAGGAATCAGTGGATWAACAGGCATGAACTGAAATAAAGCCAGAAAAATATTAAAAACAAAGTTATGAGATGACATGAGTTTAAAACCGTAATTAACTGAGTCACAAACAGTACATTTGTTTGGTTAAAAACTGTAAGATAAAAAAACTAGCTCATGAAAGATCAATACACCATTATCAAAATATTTATATAATACTTTTTATTGGTTAGATTCGGCTTAACCAAGCATAAATCACAGTCTATGGTAGATATATTCTCAAATGTAGGCTAATACTAGAAGGAAAGAAACAAAACAATTAAGTGCTCTCAATTAAAATGCTGTTTTTCTTGTTAGTTAAATATAGATGATAAAGGAGGTTAATAAAATGTTCCTATTTTTTTTAATCAAAGATGAGTTATGTACCTTTTGAACTTTCATTTCTGCAACATTAAAACAAAATACAAATGTGTTCTTTGTAGCATCATGAATATTTCAATATTCATGAAAAATAATATAATTTTCTTTCCTTTTGAGGTGGGATCCGAACATCCCATTTTACAAATATAATGATCCATTTGTATTTTTTTTTGTTTGTTTTTGTTTTTTTGACCAAGAAGGGGAACGGTGGTGGGTGTTTCTCCAATGAGACAGAATTTGTACGGGACAAGGATTTTATTTTTATTTTATTTTATTTTATTTTTTTGAGAAATCCAACAATGTCATCTTTTACTCTCCGCCTTGGTTACATTCCAGATCCTCCATCCAACATAGTTTCCCTTGCAGGAATCTCGGGTTTCTGCCAAAAGGGAAAAAAAAAGGAAGAAAGTTTAGCAGATTTGTTTATGACCTTTTTTTTTTTTTGCATAACAGTCAAAACTCAAAGTCAGAACATTTTGRCTTACATCACTTATTTCTTTCTTGACAGCAGCATTGTTGTACGTCAAGCTGGAACTCTCCTCCTGTAAACAAACCGTGTACATTTTTACTCACTCATCAACTTCTGGTTTCTGTTTCTAGTAGCAATACTCTCTAAAGTCTGTTGATAATTTTGCAGCAGTCCATATACTTACAGTAAATGCAAACTATCAATAAACACATTCTCTCCCCCTTTTCTGGCTCTCCTGCTGTACATCTGATCCAAGCAGCAGGTGCACTAAGTCGCAACGTTAATGACTTTGTGGGCCCGGTATGAAGGGGACACAGTAAAAYGTCTGACTGCCACGCTTGACTAAGTTACATCCTATCCCGTTAAACAGAGCTGTGCCCCTCAGCTCTTAAGCCCACTCTCTGGATGTGGTCTTTGTTTGAGATGTTTGGTTTCATGTGGATAGAATCTCACTGGGTGCAGAAATCCAGCTGCTGAAACAGAGACACAGCCCACTTTTCTACTGAACCACCACTGCTGACACTGTATAGTAGCTGACATTTGAACTTGAGTAAAAAAATAAAAAACGAACTTGAAGAGAAGTATTTAGTGGTGTACTCTGAACATTTGGCTATAAGAATAGGAACTTGTGTATTTTGCATTTTCAGTTTAAAATTAGATGGCCTTATGCAGACCTGAATGTATATTTTGCACAAATTTACATTAACAACTTAGGCGTAAATAAAAAWTTCTGATATTAACTTTGTCTTTATAACCGCCTGGGATCAATGAAGTGTTTTTGAATTGAATTTGAATTGAATAAACAATGACACAATTTTTAAGCTTAATAATAAAAAAGCCCTCACTTCCATAATTAAAGCAGCAGGTACACAAAAACAACTCTAAGAGGATATTTGTTTTAGCTACAGCTGTGAAATTAGGTGCTCACTTACATATTGGGTATTCACCTCCATCTGCTCTTCAGCCTCACCGACCTCCGTGCTGCACCCCCCTGGAGAACACTCCAATCCACGTTTTTCTCTTATTTTCTGCAGGAAGTCAGATGCTGTCGATTTTTCCAGCAACACTGTCAGATAAATGCATTTATTTAGCCCAGGAAGTTGCATTTCCTCTTGAAAAAAAACTCAATCATTTGGAGTTTTAGAAGAACATCTTACCTGCTCCACAGATGTCGGTAACCAAGACAATCACGATCAGCAGTCTTGCAGCCATGCTCTCTTGCAGATTCTTTATCTGTGGCCCCTTTCAGCTYCTGGTGCTTTTTGTTAACAATCCCCACACCCACAGAGGTCCCACCCACCCATCCAGGAACTACAGGTATCAGGTGCAGCATCAGGGAAACCACTAAAGTGAGTGAAACTATTCTACCACTAATCCTTATATTAAAGTTAAAAAAAATCCTCCTTCTTTCTCAACACTGTGCTCAAAACCAGCAGTTTGTATCTTCAGTGATGGGCCCATTTTGGAAAAGAAAAGGAAGAAAAGGACTGTCAGCTACTATGAAAAATATGCATGGGAACAAATATGTTTCTTTGTACACTTAAAACTATTCCGTGTTGTATAAAGTACCACAAAGTGATACTTGAGTAAAAGTACAAGTAGCTATCTTACCAAAAAGTTACTTTGGTAAAAGTTAAAGTCTCCTTTANACTTTGGTAAAAGTTAAAGTCTCCTTTAGGAATATTACTAGAGTAAAAGTACAAGTATTTTACCAAAAATACTTTGGTAAAAGTTAAAGTCTCCTTTAGGAATATTACTTAAGTAAAAGTCTTAAAGTATGTGATAGTTTTTGTACTTAAGTATTAAAAGAAAATGTATTGATTTAAAATGAGCAGTTAGATTTTCTGTAAGGACATTTATTAGGAGGCAACCTCCCCAAAACAATGCAGAAATGACTGTGTTGTATTAAAATATTTAATTGATGTTAAATTTAGGATGCACTAGTCCAGCTGTTTCAGTTTATATACATATATCAAGACTGCACAAACCTTTTCACCAAAATGAAAATCTATCTGAGGGCTGCGGCCAAATGCAATAATATAATTCATGAAATACACATACTTTTTAAGTACAGTACTTTTATTTTAATGATTATGTCCTGCTGGAGTGTGACATGATTTGTTCGTGTACAAACTAATATGTTATCCAAATTTTACATATTTATACTTCTCATTCAACCACAATTAAATTCACTCTATCTAGGAGGTACAATTTATATGGATAGTATTTATTTTTTACAATAACAAACTGGAATGAAAACAAGCAAAAAGAAATAAAAGTAGACTTACTTCTTGTCTTTTTTAAAAAAATGTAAGAAGTAAAAAAGTACAGATAACTGTGTGAAAATGTAAGAACTAGAAGTAAAAAGTACGCTGAAAAATAATTACTCAAGTACAGTACAGATACCCAAAAATTCTACTTAAGTACAGTGGCATAGTATTTGTACTTAGTTATTTTACAACTCTGTTCTTATTTCTAATACTTCCCTTCGTAATCTGATGAGGAATTATTCTTGATAACCAAATTATGGACTGCATTCAGAAGAAGTGACATGACAATGCTTTAGAAGTTTTTTATTTTTTAAATTTTTTTATTTATTTTTAGAGTTAGCACAACAACAGTTTATTGATTTAATATCTAAAGAACGCCGCTGTTTGTCTCTAGTCCGGTAGTAGGAGCCAAAGTGCCCACTGCAATGTAACCATCTGAACAGTAGAGGGCGCGTCATTCCACCTATGTCTCCGGAAGCTGAGTAGTAGTCAATCATCGTTTTGAATTTGAAGTTGTGTCTTTGTTACTTCATCGTAACCTCACCTGGAGTCTAAAACGAGACATTTGGACTTTTTCTCTATTTTTCCAAGATATGGGCTCCCCGTTAAGACTACAGTGAGTGTAAAAACATGTAGCAGCTGTGATGTAATGTCAGTCTGTTAACGGAGGTATTGTGGAGGATGTAGCCACAGTTAGCTTAGCTTCGTCATTAGTTTGGAGCATACGACGTCGACTGCAAATGTGGCACCTGTAAATCTGCTACGGGATGTTAGAGTTCACCTGTTTGTGTTTAATTGTACCTGTAATAGTGCATTTAAGTTCCGGTGTTAGTCTTGTAAAGTGACCTCGGCTATTTTGGCCCAGCCTCTTCAGGACGATAAATTAACTGCAGGCTCTGTGGTGCAAAGGCATCTTCCATGAGGCCTTCTAGTTGCGGTATTCTTCAGTCAGATTGAGTCATAAATTACTTTTTAAAATTATTATTTATTATAGCATTGTAAAAAAAATGTATTTTAAGAAATTTCTGTCCTGGTATTAAAATTACGCGTTATTCCTAATCTATTATCGTTTTTAAATGATTTCACTTTTAGGGAAATATACTGTTTTTTTTTTTTTAGATTGAAATTACTATGAGCTCTTTGTCGGCCCACCCTTCAACTTCAAGCTCATCGAGCAGGACTCCTGGAGAGGGTAATCAGGTAAAATAAAATCATCCCCTTATGCAGTTTTTCTATAATGGATTTTGGTTATTAAACTGGTTTGTTACCTTCTCAGGTGCAACCAAAAGCCCCTCTGCTGCAGATTCTGCGTGTAGCAGGAGCACAGGAGGATGTCTTCACACTCAAAGAGGCAAGTTGATGTACTTTTTACCAGCCAATAAAATCAAATGTCATAAAGAAAAGCAACTTATCTTAACGAGCATCCCGTTCACCGCCTGTACAGGTGATGCACTACTTGGGTCAGTACATCATGGGGAAGCAACTGTATGATAAACAGAGGCAGCACATAGTCCACTGCCAGGATGATCCTTTGGGAGAACTGCTGGAAGTTGAAAGCTTCTCAGTGAAAAACCCAAGGTATTCACCTTCAACCCAGAACAACTTAAATCAAGTTACATTAAGTATGAACTTAATCATATTAAATAAAGTACTTGACTATAAACTATCATTTATTTTGCAGCCCGGTGTATGAAATGCTGAAGAAAAACTTAGTTGTTCTTAATTGTTCTGGTAAGTTTTTCCTTCAGCTGTTTTAATTTCTGACACTTTTTAAAAATGTTTTATTGGTTTTAAACGGCTGTATAATTATTGAAACACACAGTGTCCTGATGCATCTCAGTAATCCAGGTAGAAAAAAATCAAAAAGGAAAAATAAGTAGGTCCTCTGGATGGGTTCTTCTTTTAGTGAAGGAGGAGAGACGAAACGTTTCACTAACATCCAGAGGACCTACTTATGTTTTCTTTTTGATAAAACACACAGTGTTTCATTTACATCTTATGAAAAATAAAAAGTATTTGATCTTTTATATAACCTTTCCTCCTACATACATTGCTGAAAGGTTTTGCATCACTTGGGGATGCAGGGATGATTTTTTTTTTTAGCCCCAGAAGAACAAAACTTTTCAGCTTCTTCAAATCCATTGAAAAGACTCCAATCGTCTGACGGCCTTAGAGAGTCAGTACTACCTTGATTAAAAGGGGGGGATGTCCTTTGTCTGTTACTGTGTTTTATCTGAAATGCAGACGCTGCAGAGAATCTTTCAGTGGGCCGTGAGTGTGTAGAGGGAGGAGTGGAAGACCGTGGTCAGGTAACACCGAAGCATGGTGCTCCGAAGAAACAGAGACTCTCGGCCTTACTTGCCCTCACTGCACACAACACTCATGGGTGTGACTCGAATCGCAGGCTAGCTGGAACACCAAAGTAACGATAAACACGACTTCACTACAGGTTTGATTAAAGTTAGACCTGGTTTCTGCTTGTGTGTATTGAGGGGAGTGAGGTCAGGGTTGCTGTCTTCGTTGATGTACATCTGTACAGAGTGGCACCGTCTCTGTACAACCCCATCCTTGGTGTGGTCTGGTGGTATTTACAGCCCTTGTTTTGTGCTCCACCTGCTCCACCCAGCGGATGGGGGGGCAGAGTCCCTGTCTCTGTCTGTCTCAGAGTTCTCTTCTCTGCTTCACATTGGAGGATCTCAGCTCCTGACCAGCAAAGGCCCAATAACCCTAAACCTCTTCACACATCTCCACATTTTCTTTTAAACTTTACTTTCCATTCCTTCCAAAATYCATTTTTATTTTTATTCTTATATTTGATCTAAACCTAGCTGAATTTAAGTACATTTTTGTATCATTTCATTAATCAAAGGGATGATTGTATTTCTAGCTGACTGCGTAGTACGATCAAATTTCATTTTTGTATTCAGAAAGTTTATTTTAAAAAACTGGGGTTGTTTTAATAGTTCTTTACCTATGAATCATTCAGAAGTAYGTCTTTGTTAATGTTCATGCATTTACTACAAGAGCAGTTTAATGTTCTTGTTTGTTGTGTCAGTTATTTTCGGGTGTTTAAATGATTGAAAAAATGAATTAAATCCCACAAGTGCTGTATGTAACAAAACACATTGAACATACCGGTGTTTCCATTTATTTGTGTGGAACTGGTCTGTCTGCTTTTTCTTTCTTTTTTTTWAAATAATTTTACAAACACTTTCACCATTTCAGTGCTGAATAATACTCCTCACTTTCCTCCATTTATCACTGGCCCATATTTAAATCCTCACCTCCTCCCCAAATCCAGAGGCCAGCCTGAAACGGAGCTGCGAGTCCTCCAGGTATCCAGTCAAGGCTCTGTGACCTAATTTTCTTGGTTTCACTTGTCTCCACAGGCGTCTGGAGGTGCGGTCAAAGCAGTGGGGGCAGCCATCAGTGACAGGCCTCTTCTGCAGACCCCCTCCCAGAGACGACCTCGAGATCCAGATGACGGTGAGTTGTTCGTCTGCCACGTTTTCCAAGCAACTCGAGTTACAAGATGCAGACTTTTAAACTGTTTCAAACATCTTCAGAGTCCGCCGAAGGCCTGCCGCGCTCTGCCTGCAAACGTCCCAAACTGGACGTCACCCTTGACGAGTGGGACCTCTCCGGTCTGCCTTGGTGGTTTCTGGGTAATCTTCGTAACAACTATAGCCGAAGGAGCAATGGCTCCACTGACATCCACACAAACCAAGTAAGAGCAGCAGTAGTGCACCAGTTGGTTCGTCCAAATTTGATCAGATTTAATTTTTCTAAAGAAACAGTTATATAAATGTACCTGTTACATGTTTTATAGCATTAACTTTTATAGGAAACAGATAATTTGTGGCGGACGTGGGAGCAAAACTGTGGGTGGTAATCTGACTGATGAATCAGCTGTCTCATACACAGGAGGAGGACACAGCCGTTGTGTCGGACACCACTGAAGACCTCTGGTTCCTGACCGAGGGCGAGAGTGAACAAGTGAGCGTGGAAATGAAAGAAGCCGCGCTGGAAGAAGGAAGCGGAGGTGAAGAAGGTTCACTCGACGATGATTTTGGAGGAGGGAAAGAAGAGAAGGCAGATCGGGAGGTCGGAGCTTATTCAGGATTTCTTTCAGACTTTGTCAGTTTTTCAGATTTATACAAAAAGACCACTTCTATTTGTTTAGATGCAGGAGGAGCTCGAGGAGGACTCGCAGTGTCTGAGTGATGACACGGACACAGAGATTTCCACACAGGTTTGTATCTTTTTATAGGTTTACGGTTTTGTTTTTTATCTTTATTGATCGTTACTGTATTTATTCAAGTATAATGCGTAAAATTTAGTCCATAAAATCATGCACAAAGTTGGGGGGTAGTACTATACTCGGATAAATATTTTTACTTATGTATTTTAACTGAAATATCGGCCTCATTCACAAAATCCCTGAGTCCGGAAATTAAACAACGTCTTAAAAAGCGGTTGAAGTGAGCTTACCTTTAAAACTCCTTCGTGCCTCCGAGCGAGATAGTAACAGATCCAAGCAGGCAACATGATGTGAAAAAAGGCAGTCCTGCAGCTAAGTAATGATAACAAACTAATTATATTAATGTGCGGCCGGGCCGCTCCTGGGACAATAACAAACATAATGACTGCCGTCTACCAGTGTTCTGTAAAAGTTGGTCTACCTGAAAAAAGTTTCCCCATGAGAGGGGGCGCTCGCGAGACAGAGCATGAGATTGTTGTTGAGTGAGATTCTGATGCCTTTATTACAGAGGAGGAATACCAGAAACTTTAAATGATACTGATGATGGTGAGCCTGATTTTGAAGGCTTTTAATTCTGTTTCATCCACACTTGTTAGAGCCTCATAGCTCTCTATCTGTTTGTTATATCACACCAGTTAACAAATGAACATTTGATAGTGTTTGTTGTAGTTATTATACATTTGTTGTTGTGTACCTTTTTATATGTTGTAAAATAAAATTAAAAACTAATACAACAGTCAAATGATAATTTTACTTATATACAGTATATACAGTGGTTTGCAAAAGTATTCATACCCCTTGAACTTTTCCATATTTTGTCACATTACAACCACAAACATAAATATATTTCACTGGAATTTAAAAAATACCAACATGTTTTGTATAGATG